TGATGGTGGCACTGCAACACACCAGTGTGCTAGCCAAAACAAAACCTCTGCAGACATTGCCAAATGCCTCTGGTTAAGAATCACTCATTTAAGCCAGGCTGTGGTAGTGCCGCCTTTAATACCAGCACTGGGGAGGTAGAAGCAGGTAGATCTCTATAAGATCAAGGCCAGCCTGGGCTACAAAGTGAGTTCCAGGACAGCCAGAGCTGTTACACAGACAAACCCTGTCTCAACACCCCCCCCCCCCGCCAAAAAAAAAAGAATCAGTCATTTAACTGTTTTCTGCTGTGGTCTGTGGTGCTTCATTAGCACTGGCAGACATAAAGAGTAAAACACGCGAACACTTAAGAACAATGTGCCGAAGTGTTGGGGAAGCAGCTCTGTAGATGAAGTGTCTGCTGCACAAGCATGAGGACCTGGGTTCAGATCCCTGGGACTCACAGAGAAAGCCAGACTCGACACAACCAGCTTTGGAGAGCTAGAGGGAGGAGGAGGACCGCTGGAGCCAAATCAGTGAGTTCCACTGTCAGTGTCTCAACACTGTGAAAGTGAAGAACCAACAAGGAAGGCATTCAGCTTCAACCTCTGACCTCCACATGCATGTGCTCACACACAGAGGAATACAGAAACACAAAAAGTGGAACATATGCACACAGAATGTATTCTAGGGCCAGTGATATGTATCAGAGGCCCAAACCTGATGACCTGAGTTCAATCCTTGGGACCTATGTTTTGAAAAATCTAGATGGAAAAACTTGTGACTATGGGCCCAGGACTGCTTTGGCAAGATGGGAGGTGTGACTGTAAGCCCAGCACTGCTTTGGCACAATGAGAGACAGAGGCAAGAGACTAAACCGGAAGTCTGAATGTGCAACACAGCATTAGAAACAAGAGAGAGACTCTGCCTCAAAATCAGGTTGGAAGGAGAGAACCTGATGGAGGAAGGTAATTGGTTAATTATAATAAACCAACTGCTTGGCCTCATAGCTTAGAACATAGATGAGAGGAGAAAACAGAATAGGATGCTGGGCGGAAGAGGAAGTGAGGTCAGACTCTGCTCTGCTCCTGGAGACTCGACAGCTCTGCTCTGGAGCAGAGACACCAGGATGGACATAGGCTAGAATCTTCCCGGTAAGCGCACCTTGGGGTGCTTACACACATCATTAGAAATGGGCTAGTCCAGGTGCGAGAATTAGCGTGTAAGGGCTAGAGTTCATGGGCCAAGCAGTTCTTAAATGA